CTTGTTTAAGTACCAGTAAGTACCAGAAGTGTGTGTGTGAATGCAAAAGTGTGCGTGTTTTGGCGAATTGTGTTCTGCGCTACGACATGCGTGTTGAGCTGATTAGGCTTAAAGCTACTCGTACCTCCCCATTTCCATATTCCAAAAGAAAATCTGCCACATTCTCGTTTTTGCTGCATTTTTCATATCAATCACTTGGGACCCATAATTCATGCTCCGTGTGTACTTTTATATATAATTTCGTGCGTTAATGGATATTATCGCAATTACCTGATTGTATGCAATACTCAAGGCTAAGTCCAAGGTTCCAGAATAAAATAAATTAAATAATAGCCATTACTGACTTAGCCACCGCAGCAGTCTCTATTATATTCTTCTGCAGTATATTACTTAAATGTGAGGACATACGCCTTAGCTTTAATTTAGTAAAGTGTTCTGTTGCTATCGATACTTTCGTAAAGAACGAAGAAAGCGAAGTAATTCACCTATTTATGCTAAGGGATAAGATACACAAAGTTGACAAATATGTAGATATATACTATGTATGTGGTATATACTCGATTCAATCCATGTTTAATCTATACTAATTTTATAAAGAGGAAAGATTTGATTATTTTTATACTCTCGCAACCTGTTGCTACAGAGTATAATAATTTTGTTCACCTAACGGTTGTTTGTATCACCTAAAACTAATCGAGTTAGATATAGGGTTATATATATATAAATGATCAGGATGAGGAGACGAGTTGAAATCCGGGTGACTGTCTGTCCGTCCGTCCGTGCAAGCTCTAACTTGAGTAAAAATTGAGATATCTTTATAAAACTTGGTAGACATGTTTCTTGGTACCGTGAGACGGTTGGTATTGCAGATGGGCGTAAGCGGACCACTGCCACGCCCACAAAACGCCATTAATCCAAAACAAATAACTTGCCATAACTAAGCTCCGCAATAAGATACAAGACTGTTATATGGTACACAGGATCACATTAGGGGAGGCACTGCAGTTAAAACTTTTTAAAAGTGGGCGTGGTCCCGCCTCTAATAGGTTTAATGTGCATATTCCCTAAACCGCTAATACTATAATAACAAAATTCACTAGAAGCAAATGTTTTAGCACTTCATTGACGGTGTGAAAATAGTTGAAATCGGGTGGCAACTCCGCCCACTCAGACATTAAATTTTATCTCTGAGATGTTATAAGATGACTTTATAGGAACCGCGGTCTATAGACAGCGGGCTGGCACAGCCCACTTTTAGGTGAAACCCATATCTTGAGATCTGCTTAACGATTTCAACCATGGTGCGTAATGTTCTTTTCATGTTCTATGTCATAGTGCGAAAATGGGCGATATCGGATTACAACCACGCCTATTTCCATATGACACCATTTTAAATACCACGCGTGAATAATACGTTTAAAGTATGCCACCTTGTGACCAAAAATTCTCTAAATCGAACCAAAACTGTTCAAGCCCCTAGGTACTGAATATGTGGACCCCAGTGCCTATAGTTGACCTTCTACCGAAAATATCAGTCAATCCACAAAGAAATCTCAAACGAGTATACCATTTGACTTTGCGAGAGTATAAAATGTTCGGTTATATCCGAACTTAGCCCTTCCTTACTTGTTTTGTTTGAATTGAATAGGCTCCAAAACTACTTGACGGATTTGAAAAATTCGTTCCCCGTTGGGAAGCTGCAACATCTCTGGTGAACATAGACCTCAGTATATATTAAAAAAAAATTAATCCTTACTAAATCGCCACTAATGTCACCCAAGGTCTAAAACAAGTGGACTACAAAATTTTTCTATCGCGTGCGCGGCGCATACTTTTGATTATAGAAGAAAGTAATATTCTACGACTTTGTAGAACATAAGTATAATTAAATGAAAATAAGGTGGGCTAAGGTAAGTATTGTTCCGTTTCTACCCATCTTTAATATACGGACATAGTATTATCAGGAAAGTATTTATTCTGAATTGCTATCTCACAGATTGACCGATATTTTCGATAAAAAGCTCGCAATAGGAACTGCGATCCACATACTCGGTATCTGGGGGCTTGAATAGTTGTAATCCGATTTTGACAATTTTCAGTCATCAGGTGGCACATCCTAGAGGCACCGCTTTTAAAACGTGAAAGAATCATATGGAATCGAATATTTTGTTACATGGAAAGTAGGCGTGGTTGTAATTCGATTTCTAACATTTTCGCACTGTGACATAGGAATATCAAAATTATTGTGGGCAGTGCCACGCCCATTGTTCAATTTTGAAATGAGCTGATATAAGGCTTGCTTTTATCGGGTGCAAAATTGAGTGTTTACGATGCTTGTGTTTATTGAGTTTTTAGTAGTTTTCACCTTAACCGTTTCATGGCGAGTGGGTGGGGTTATAATCCGATTTCAACTATTTCTATACTTTCGAAGGGGACCCTAAAAAGATTTTATCTGAGCCATTTTCGTCAATTTAGCTTAATTGATTCGGGATATATGTACATTAAACCTATTAGGGGGCGGGGCCCCATCCAATTTTTAAAGATTTTCAAACCACCAGTTGCCAGGTGCTCCTCACCACTGTAATCCTCTGCACCAAATTACAATTTTGTATCTTAATTTGGAGTTTAACATAGTTATAGCACTTTATAGGTTTTCATTTGATTGCGTTTCGCTCCCTTTCTGGAGGAATATGTGTATTAATTTTCACTACGATACCTTAATTTTTACTCAAGTTACAGCTTGCACAGACAGACGGACATCCGGATTTCAACTCGTCTCTTCATCCTGATCATTTATATATATATAACCCTATATCTGTCTCGATTAGTTTAAGGTGATACAAACAACCGTATTAGACGAAATTGTCAATGGGTAACAATCCAATTTGGCATCTTATTAACTTATATTGAAGGTCATGTAGTCACTTAGCTTTATTAATATATTTTAATCGCGTCCACAAAAATTTTATTAAAATCATCCTTAGATGAGAAATATGTGATATTATATAATGCTACAACTGTGGTCTACATATTCGGTCTCTGGGGCTTGAACAGTTGTGGGCACAATACAAGGTGCAATTGAAAAGTTTCAGGACTTTTATTAAAAAACGAATATTATTTGTTTTTTTTTTGAAAAATTTGTTGGTCGCCTTCAAAATAGTCACCTTCCGCCTGAATTCAAGAGGGTTATCGAATGACTTTTTAGGTCATTTGTCGGTATAGCGTTGGGGATGGCGGTCGTCGCCTTTTGGATGGCATCAACGTCAGCATAGCGGTTTCCTTTCATGGCCAAATGTGGTTTTCCGAACAAATAAAAATCGCAGGGTGCCATATCAGGCGAATAGGGTGAATGGTTGATGATATGAATGCGATTTTTGGTCAAAAAATCTGTCTGATTCTGAGGTCTTTTTCGTGTTGTTTCAAAGTGTGCGGGACAAATCGAGCATAAACCTTTCTGAGGCCCAAATTTTCTGTCAAAATACGATAAATCGGCTCTGCGGATATTGATAATTCCGATTCCATATATTTAGGCGATGATTTCGGTTCTTTTTTAATGAATTCACGCACAATTTCCGTGTTTTTTTCGTTCACAACATCTTTTGGCCGGCCCGAACGTTCGTCGTCTTCTAAGTCCTCCCGTCCCTCTTGAAAACGTTTAAAGCACTCGTGAATACGGCTACGGGATGGACAATCATCGCCATAAACTTGTTTCATCATTTGATGAGTTTTGGCAAAAGTTTTACCAAGTTTAAAGCAAAACTTAATGCTGGCTCTTTGTTCGATGCTCATTTTCCGACCGACACTACAAATGTAATGTGACATGTAGCGCGATATCTCAGCTGTTATACAAGTCAGCTGCTATATAAATTTTATACGACAACACTGAAGAATACACAATTGAGGGATAACAATTTCAGACAGACGGCGCCACTAGAAGCCGCGTTGTTTAAAAAGTCCTGGAACTTTTGAATTGTACCTTGTATTCATGCAAAATTTAATCCCAATACATTTATTGGGTCTCTGGGGCATAGGAATGACATGATAATACTACATTCTAAATTTTGTCGATATCGGTCAAGTAAGTCCTGAGATATGGGTTTTCACCGAAATATGGGCGGTGCCACGCCAATCGTCTTATTTTTACCTGGGTTCCTATAAAGCCTCCTCATACCCCCCCAAGTGTAAAATTTAACGTCTCCGGCCTATTTATTTGTTAATTCATCGCGCTTTTAGTAGTTCATCCGATTTTAGCCATTTTTATAGTGTCGGTAGTAGTGCTTAAATGGTTTGGTCTGAGCGAATTTGGTTACTATAATTTGAGTGGTCTGGGAAATATGTAAATTAAATCTCTTAGAGCGCGAGGACTCGCCCATTTTCGTTTTAATCATTAGTCCACAGGTGCCCCTTGCTTCTCTGATGCCCTGTGCCAAATGTCAGTTTTGTATCTTTGTTTAGTGCTGGGTTGTGACACTTTATAGGTTTTCGTTTAATGGCGTTTTGTGGGTGCATAAATATAAATAGTTATAGACCTATATACGAGTATCTATATTGCTTATTTACCAATCAAATTTAGTTCTCGCGGGACCCAAGAATAAGCCTTTGTAAGCACGTCCACTTGAGTTTCGAGAATTGACTTTAACTGAAAAAGTTCCCGTGGCATTGGTAAGGTTTACCTTAATTTACAACTTATTGGAAGATCGCGTCGCGTTGCATGGAAACAAACACTTTGCAATTCCTTCGCAAACGCTAATGCTCAAACACTGTATAAGTAAATAAATAAATCATAGGCTTATTTTTCAAAACACAGATAATACTACAAATTAAACATTCTGATTTTACTGATAAAAGGAAAAAATGAGTTACTATCAAGTGTGTCATAGAAAACAAAGAAAAAACCTTGAAATTATTTTCCACTCAATCGGCAGCCGGTCAGTTACGATCAAAAAAACATGGGTCCACTACCTTGGTTGTCATAAACTAGTTTCAAATGTCATTCAAAATTCAATAACTTTAGTTCTCTTTCTTCTGAAAATATTCCAAAAAAATTAACAAAATGTCAATATTAAGGACCGTCTGTACCCGGTCGATGTAGCTAAGGTCAAAGCTCTAACCATTGGACAATGTCATCGGTATATACATATGTATGTAAAAAGGATTCAAATATAAGATTATTTCAAAACATTATTTCATATTTCGTCTCTTTTAAAGTAGCGTATCCGATAACATAAAACAGTTCGACAACGGAGGCATTACTAACATAAACAGAAAACCGTAATCGCACAGTCGGGATTTCGACGAAATGTACAATTGTTGCGGTCTTCTTTTTACGCTACTTAATTTATAATATTAGACATTTCGATACAATTTTAATCTTAGATATTTTCAGTTTCGTCTCCCTTAAATTATGCCGGAGCATTTTTTAACCTACCCTTCCTGAAACGCAAGCATATAGCTAGATGTCTAATACGATTTGTGCCGCTTCAACACCCTTCATAATTTCTGGCCGTCGATATCTCTCCCACAAATAACAACGGAACTTTTATTAAAGTAACAGCGAATAAGATAGTTATCGCTGCTGGCATAGCCTCTTATCACTAAAACATCTCAACAAGTTTTCACACCATAGAATTTATACGGAATAAAAAATGTTTAACAATACATATGCATAAAACATATAATATCTTGTATAAATGAGTTCATGATACAGGGTATTTCAGTTTGAAAATGTTAATGATACAATATATTTACATACTGACATGAAAGGTGACGCACCCTGTATACGTATATATATATACACCTATATGTTTATAGGTTTATTTTTTTAATTTCTTTTGAAACTTACTGAGAGATAATGTTAAGACTGTCGATATATTATATCACGTTCCACATTCATTCAATCATTCATTAGAATTCACATTTTTTAGTGAGTTGCTTTTCCCTTGTGCGTAACTGTTTATATAGGCAAAACATTTAAAAATAACCAACTGAAGTTTTAAATTGATAAAAAGTTTTTTAATTACAGCCTTCCAGTGGAGTAGCTCGGTTTAATCAGCTCCGTTCATCTTTAAACGCATTTTTCTTAAAAACACATTTTCCAAATTTGCTTGAGTGATTACACTGACTCAAATGATTTGCTCACTATCAAATTTCTGCGTGGTCTGTATATAGTTCTTCTTACAATGACCTAGCAGTTTTTTGATCTGCCTTTGGCAGGCCTAAAATCCAAAATTTTGAATACATTTCTTTATGAAAACATTGCCATTTTGTAAATTTGTACGGACAATAACTTCTAGTAGAGAATTTTGAAAGTTTTTTGGTTAATAAATTTTGTTCTTTTATAATTATTACACTAGCAGACTTATTTTACAACAAAGAAATCAAATTCTTCCGGCTTTCGCTTTTTGTTCGTGGTCGCGTGAAATAATTCGAACGACGCTCTGCTATGTTCTTAGCCTGAAATCAGTGCGATTTGGTAATTGTGAATGTATCTGTGTACTGATTTATAGATTATGCGACAGGTTTTAGTGGATTTTGTTTGTTGTTTTTCATCTGATGGTGGCCGCGGTCGCACATTTCGAGCCACTGTTATCAGTCCCAATCAATCTGAATTTCGCGCGCCTCAGCGCGCACCCACTGCGCATCACTTCAAATTACATGTTCTTGAAGTGGTGAGAGCAGCAACGTTGGTGATACTAGCGACTTCATTTGGAAGTATACTAAAAGACTTTTACTTTAGCTAGAAACCAGCGCCCTGCGAATATTGAATATTGCATATATAGTGATGAATATGTGGAGAAAATTCGGTCGCTACCAAATGTTAAAAAATGTGTTGCTGCTTGGAAGCAAGAACTAAGCTCACCCTTATAGCACACAATTTTTTTACCGCAAATGTATATTTGCACAAGCAGATTGGGAAAGATTGTGGGTGCAAGTGCAAGAATGTATTGTAGCGTTTTAATGTCATAAAAGGATTCACTTGATATTCATCATCGTCAGAGCCAGCACCAGTACCAGTTAGCTCGTAGCAGACAAACAGCTGAGACGAAACGTAATAGAGCCCGAGGAGGCATACAGACATAGAATTAGATAGGTAAATACGTGCAGCTAAACGGGCCAGTGGCAAGTGGCAGTGTGGCAATCAAACAAATCGCAATCGCAAACGCAATTTCGATCGGTATCGCAATGGCAAGTGCTGTCATGGTGGTGATGTTATTGACTGTAACCCGATGCGTTGGCACAGTTTTTTATTTCATCAATTCGCCGACGCGCCGAGCTATACTAATCTGATTAGTGTCAGAGTGCAGACAAAATTGAAATGCACTACCTAACGGCACTCACATACAGAGCTAAAAGATTAAAAGAAAGAAAATTAATTGTCATGGTAAAAAAAGAAAGCACTAATAGAAAAAATAAAACAATATAAAAAAACTTTGGCAGTATTAATGACAAAAAGTAAAGAACCACTTTAACAATTTATCCATTAAAGAAAGACTACAAGTATATGAGAAAAACTTTGAGTGAATTTACAGTCATTTTGCGACTGTGATGCTAAAGGCTGTTTCTTGTTAATTTTGGGTTGATAGGACCGAAAATAATAGTAAAAATTTCCTAACATGTAGAATTTTTTATGTTGTAGTCAAGGGGTGTAGGGGTCAAACCACCACCATTTACTAAAATGAAAAATTTTTAACTGAAATTCGTAATCAGGATATCTCAAATATCTCTACAGATCTCTTAGCGCATCAGTCGCAAATTTTTCCTTCAGATTTGTTGAGTAGTCCTTTTTCACACCAAGAGGCTGCTCAGACGTCGGACAGCCATAACATATAGCTGCCATACAACTGACCGATCAAAATCAGAATAAAGATCTTTTATACTAAAAAATGCAACTGCAAAGGGTATTATATCTCCGGTGCAGCCAAAATTAACTAAATTGAATCAAAACTGTTCAAGCCCCTAGGTACTGAATATGTGGACCTCAGGACCTATAGTTGACTTTTTACCGAAAATATCGGTCAATGTGTAAGATATATAATTGAAATTCATACAATAAAATAAATAATTGAAATTTTCGATAATAATATGTTTTTGTGTCAAAAATTGGTTGAATCGTCTCAAAAAAATAGCCCCCCACATCATTAAATAGAGCGAATGCTCTCCTTTTTTATCGCGCTATCTACTTGTACAATAATACAAGTATTTTTCAGTCAATATTTCTGTCAGTTTATATAATGAATTACTTTTTATACTCTCGCAACCTGTTGCTACAGAGTATAATAGTTTTGTTCACCTAACGGTTGTTTTTATCACCTAAAACTAATCGAGTTAGATATAGGGTTATATATATATAAATGATCAGGATGAAGAGACGAGTTGAAATCCGGGTGACTGTCTGTCCGTCCGTCCGTGCAAGCTCTAACTTGAGTAAAAATTGAGATATCTTTATGAAACTTGGTAGACATGTTTCTTGGTACCGT